AGAGAGAGAGAGAGAGAGAGAGAGAGAGAGAGAGAGAGAGAGAGAGGCGAGAGGTGTGCTGCGCGCTCAGCGCTTGGCATGCCAGCATGGTGTGCCTAGCGGTCTCGTCCGGGTCTCCGCACAGGCGGCAGGCCGTGCTTTTGCTCGTTCCCCACTCGTGCAGGTTGTGCATGGTGCGTGGGGACCTGTCCGCATCTCCACCACAGGCACCGCCTCAGTTCGCGCGGCAGCACAGTAGTGCCCCCCTTCGTTCTGAAGATAGTACCAGGCTGCCGGGTGTAGGCTGGGTGCAGTCTCGCGTTCCAACCGCATGTACAGCGTATGTATGGAGGTTGGCCCCCAGCTGGGGGCTAACCTGCAGTGTCTTCTGCAGTTTGCAGGCCAAGCGCTTCAGCGCTTCTGCAAGATTGGCCAAGATGCGCGGCTTGGAACGGCGGCGCTTTCCACCTGCCCCTTGTGGCCGAGCCGTCTCGTCTGCCGATTCAGATGTATGCCACCACCACGAGGGCCATGCCATAGCATGCACAGCAGCAGCGGCGCACCGTAGAGCAGCTAGCCTGAGACAATAACAGTGACAGCGTCATCGCTCCGCACCCAGACGGGAAGCTGGACGCTCAATTGGCCGAGCAACTCGACTTGACTTACGTGCCAACCCCATGCATGTTCAGCGCTGTGGTGACGCTAGGCAGGGGGCCCAACGACTTCGTGCTGCTTGTCCCGACAGCACACTCGCTCGGATCGCCGTCAAACGGCACCGCGTGCAACTCTTAGTTTGTAGCAGTATATCAGGCAGCCAAGTTGGCGGGCTGGAAGCCATGCGCGTTTGTATAATTGCATTCCCACCCCAAGGACCTCTATGGTACCTTGCGGCACTCAACACTTCGCAGCGATTTTCCCACCCGGCGTTGGAGGCCACACCAAGGACCAGACGGCACATGCAACGATATCCGGAAGAATCGCAGGTTTGATATTGATCTCGTTTATATTCGATGTCACGCTGCTTTGGCGGTCCGTGACAGCTGCGCGAGAACTTAGAACGGCCAAGTGCTGCGAGGAAAGGTCGCTGTAAAGCTGAGCGGCCCGTACTCGACTTGCGCGGATTTCCTATTTTTGCGCAGCAAGGTGGCGCCGGGGGCGCCTGGTGCACTCGACCCCCTGCACACCGGTCGCGGCCCCTGCAGTGCACACCGGTCGCGCTGCTGTTGGGGTCATCGGCAACCGCAGCGTTCTCGTGCGCCCGACGGCGCAATCCGTGAAGCGACGTCACACCAGCACTAATGGGGTGCGCTTCATCAAAGGGGGCGGAGCCAGGCAGTGCGGGCCACCAGTCGGCAGCGGCTGCACTGCTACCAGGCGTTGAAAGGCCTGGCGCCACCCCGAGGGATGACCATACGCACCAGGGCACCACAGCCAGCGGCGACATACATGCAGGCAGCGGGACGGCTGCCGCCGCTGCTGTCAAGCCAGCCTTTTTTGAGGCTTCAAAGGTGCGCAGCCGGGGCCGCTGTCAACACACGTTGGGGGCCGCCAGGCGCAGGGCCCTTGGACACGATTCGGCTCTTGGGCACCGCACGGCCATTATGTCACTACCGGTAGCGCCACTGACGGCGGCCTCCGCGGTCGCAGGCCTTGTGCGCCCTCGCATATATTGGGACCACTTAGGCGTCGCGCGGGCCGACTAGGCCCGCTTGTTGTGGCGAGCCCCTTGGAGGCACCACGGGCCCGCACCCCATCTGTTTAGCCCCTCCGCTCTCGCCACATCGGCACTCCCCGAACCCAAACGTTTGGGTTGTGTTTCGACGCAGGCAGCCGCGCTGCTGCAGGAGATGGCGATGCTGAGTACTAATGCGCGGCTGGCAGTTTCAGAGGCAGCGGACCTCATCGTGGAAGAGGGCCTGGCCGACGTGGCAGGGTGGGCGCATGCGATGCATATGCGCGAGCGCGTTTTTGGCCGCTTTGGTGCTAAAAGACACGGCTTGAGCAGCCCACGCAGCCCCGCCGGCACGCGCCACGCGGCCAGGTGGCGTGCAGGCGGGAACGCCCGCCCGGCCCCGGCCTGGACCCGGCTGCAGCGCGGCGGCGGCGTGCAGCACCGCAGCCCGGCTCCCAAGCCGCCGCTACACCCCCTCTGCGCCCGGCTGAAGCTGCGGCCGCCGACCACATGCCCCAACCTGCCCCATGTCTCGCCCGCAGCATCCTGGCGTTTGTGGACGGGAACGTCGACTGCGGTGTGCTGTTGGCCGCAAGTGGGATCGGCGCAGGCGCGCTCGAGGCGGACGCGCTGATGAGCGGGCCAGGGTGGAGCGCGGGCCGCGCCGCATGCGCAGCTTGTGGGCGCGTGTCCATACAAGACTGCGCCGCGGAGCTCGATGTGCGTGAGGCGCCGCGCGCCTGTGACGCGCACGCACATGCGGCGCAGGCCGCAGAAAAGGACTGCATGCGCGCACGGCCGTTGGGGGCGGGATCTCTGAGCAAGCGTGCTCGCTTGCGAACGCAGCTTTGCGGCAGTCCGGCAGGCTAGCTCAGCCCTGTCTCGCTTGCACCGCCCGCGCCAGCTCAGCTTGTGGTTGTCCTCCTTCAAGTTGGTCCCTGCCGCTGACGCCACCGAATAACGCATCCTATCCAATTCGCGTACAGCTGCCCCGCGACGTGGCACGCCTCCACTCCGAGGCCGGTATCCTGAGCTTCGAAGCCATCGCCATCCGGGCCCCTGGCGGCGGGGCTGCGCTCGGCGCGCTGCTGCTGGGCGCGGGCCGCGCCTGCTCCTTCACGTCCCCCGCTGGCGGGTGAGCGCGGCGGCAGCATGTGTGTGTGTGTGTGTGTGTGTGTGTGTGTGTGTGTGTGTGCGCGCGTGCGCGCAGGCACGAGGCGGCGCTGCAAGGGTTGTCTCATATTTGTTAGAAAAATGCAATTGTGCGGCAGGTTTTCCCGTCCTGGCAGGAACACCGTGGCCCAAAGTGACTGTGCATGAAATCATCATAACTGTCAGCAGCTGAAAGTCACGGGCGCGCATTTTGCCATTCCACAGGCTACCAGCGTGGGTAGACGCGGCGGCGACCGCGCTCCTGCAGCTGCTGCGGCACGGCTCGGTGATGGGGTCTGCCAGCACTCTGAGGGCGGTCTACCAGGCGCCCGACGCCGTCGCCGCGATCGGCGCCATGATGCAGGTGAGAAGGGCGCGGTCTGGGGAAGGGGAGATGAGAGAACGGGAGTCGGAGAGCAGGGCAGGACCACCCATTGCTGCATGATGCACTGACGTGTCTCGCCGCCAGGCTGGCGATGCGGTCGGCTCAGGTGCGACCGGTCTTGTGCACCAATCGCTTCTGAGCTGGGCGGCGCGCTCCAGACGCCGACAGCAGAGCAGCGCACGAGCAAACTCGTTTTTTCAAACAAGCAACGGACCCTGCTATTTTGGTGCGCCGCGTTCAGGGTGTGTCGCACTTCATGTGGCGGGCCACCAACTGCTCGATGGCGGTGCGGCTGGCGGTCATCTCGGACGACGCCATGGGGCCAGGGGAGGTGCTGCTGTTCGAGGCAGCGACGGCAGGTGAGCAATGGCACGTGTGTGCCCAACAGGAGAGCACGATGTTCCAATACACCCGGGCCCTGAAAGTTCCATGTGTGGGGTGTGTCAACAGTGCGACGCCTACCGTGCGCGCTGCTGTGTCTGCACGGTCTTTGGTGTCTGACAAGACCATCCGCGGGTGCAAGTCAAACGCTTGATAACCCTTTGCACGCGCCAACCCCTGACCTGGGACCCGCTGTCCCGACCGCATCCCAACCTGATACATGTGCCGCCCACCTCACAGGTGCCTCTGCCAGCAAGCCGCACGGCGCGCGCAAGCGCAGCGACTGCAGCATCGGCAGCACCCCCAGCGGGAGGCTGTCTTCAGACCCCGGCTCGGAGGTGGCCGTGCGCCAGCTGGCGTTTGGAGGCACGCTGCTGGAGCGCGCGGTGAGGCGGCTTGGCCAGCAAACCTTTGTGATGCCAGCGCCACGGTGTAAACGCCCGCGCATTGGCGTTGGCCTGGCACCGCTGCAGGCAGCGGCCAATCCTTGCCATGGCGACCTTGCGCACGACTGCGCTACAGCGATAATGCACCTGACTTGAGCAAAGGCAGAGGTAACGCCCTCACGCCCAGTTGGCGTGCGGGGGGTCCCTAGCGCCTACTTTACCCCCATCCAAATCGTCAACCCGCATCAGGCTCCCTCGCTGCCGCTCACAACCCCCTCTGCCTGGCCCCACTCGTCCTGAACAGCTGAAGCTGAACCGAGCAGTCACCATCCACGACACGACGAGCTACCTCCAGAACAGCCCCCACCCGGCCCCAGACCTCTTCTCCCACTCAACCCCGGTGTCCAGCCTGGCGGTGGTGCCTATGTTTGTGGGCGATACACCGATAGGCGCGCTCTACTTCTGCCCCACTGCTGCGCCTGTGGATTTTGGGAACATCAAAGACGACATTTTGGTGTGTTGCTAGGAGGTGTGGGCGTGAGAGCGAGTGTGTGTGTGTGTGTGTTTGTGTGTGTGTGTGTGTGTGTGTGTGTGTGAGTGCGCACGCGCGTGCGCACGCGTGTGTGCGCGTGCAAGTGCATCAGGGATTTGAGTGAGCTCAAAGGAGGAAGCACTGGGAGAGCGCATCGCCATATGTGTGAGCTTTTGTTTGCGCGTGCTGAATACGGCACACAGCCACCCGTGCAAGCATCACGCGTGGCTGCACAGTGCAGCCTTTGCAGCGGCCGCATGCTTAATTTATTGGGTGGTGATGAGCGGCCGCTCCCGCATCCAACCGAGCAGCAGTGCCAGTTTCCAGCCTGGGATCGTGCCCGCCTGCCAACCTCCAGCCTCGCCTGACGCCTGCCAACGTCCAACCATCACCCTTGCGCACCCCGCAGGGCGTGGTGCCTGGCCTGGCGATGGCACTGGACTCCAAGCTGCAGGGCAACACCGCCCAGCTCAGCAGCATGGTGGCAGAGGTGGGTGGCAGGGGTGCTCTTTGGGGGCACGGGCAGCAGCTCGTAGACTTGGCAGGTCTGGTGGCAGGTGTCGGGCAAGGCGGCTCCTGGTGCACCTCGTAGGAGAGGCTTCTGGTTGGGTGTGGCAGCAAGCAGCAATGGGTACGCGGCCAAAGCAGGGCTGCTGTACTTGAGTGGCGATTGCTCGGGTCGAGCGCCGGGCTGAAGGCGGAGTGGGCGTAGTGGGTGAGGGGACACGTTGAAAAAATCCAGCATCTCCAACCTGGTGAACCTGCGCACCAACGCTCCCATCATTAAAGGCCCTCCACTCTGATGCAACCCTCCCGCACACGCGCGCGCGCCGCGCCACCACGCAGGCCCGGACGTCCTGGCCGCTCCGAAAGCCGCGGTCGGGCTTCCGCAGCAGCAGTGGCGGAGGCGGACGTGCAGGCGCAGGCGGCTCCTCCTCTTCGGACGGCTCAGTGCCAGACGGGGCGGCAGACGACCAAGGCGCGCCGCTGGCGCGGCTCAGCGACGCCTGGAGCCAGTCTGACAGCGACGGCCCCCCCACCGCTGCTGCAGCAGCAACAGCAGCCGCGCCGCGCGCACCGCGTGCCGATCGGGCGGGCGCGGGCTGCGAAGGTGCGCGCGTGACGACGCAGCGGCACGGCCCGGCTGCTGCGGAAGAGCCGTCGGCGGCGCCGGCGGGAGCGCAGTCATCAAGCTCAAAGCTGTGTGTAGTGCCCATGGGGGGCAGGAAGCTGCACACCGAGTCGATGATCAAGGTGTGCCCGCTCTGGCATGTGCCTGACGGCTGCCTGGTGGCTGCGGCCTCGATTGTCGGGAGGGTTGTGAGCACACCAGGCCTGCTCCTTGACCGGCCAGCTGAGATCGTGTTGTGGGTGGCCGTGATGGCTTGTGCAAGCAATAATGCCACGCACGCAGGGGGGGCATGCGGATGTGCACGCACACAAACACACAGACTTACATAGACACAGACAGACGCAGTTACGCACACAAACACACACATACACGCACGCGCGCACATGTGCAAATACAGTCACTCACCAGGCATTCCCATACGTGCACACGCACACACACCAGTCGCACTCTCACACAATTTCACGCACACTTGTTCTCTCCATGTGGTCGGCAGGCCCTGCAAGGCGAGATCCGACGCGGCCGCCGCTGCAGCTTGGAGCTGTGCTTCGTCTCAGACCTCGTAATTGCCGACGAGATCGGCCGGGGCGGCTTTGGCACCGTGTACTCAGGCTCCTGGCGCCACTCGCCGGCGGCCATCAAGGTGTGCTGCGTCATTCTTGTAGAACCATTGGCGGAGGCCACTCGCGCCAGGCGGCAAACAACACCTGCATCGGCGGCCGCTTCCGTGCATCGAAGCCAGCAGCCCGCGATCTCCGGTCCGTCACCCAGCTGTGCTCGTGATGCTGATGGCCGCATGCCCCAAAGATATGCCTGATGCACATCTCACTCGGCGCCCCCTGCAAGCATCTCTTGATCCAACGCTGCTGCCCTGGCCCGCGCCAGGTCATGGCGGCGCGGCCCAGCGGCGACGAGGCGGTGGCCGACGCGATGGAGATGGCGGTGCTGTCGACGGTGCACCACCCCCACATTGTCCAGCTGTACGCCTGCCTCCCAGGGATGGTGTTGGCAGATGATGGTGGGCGGCCCTCGGTGTCGCTACCAACAAAGCAGCACCGGTGCTGCCTTATCTGCACTGACCATGTGTCCGCATGCATGCACGCGCCTGTGGGATCGGCCCTGCGTAATTTCCTGGTGGTGGTGGTTGTGCGTGTGTGTGTGTGTGTGTGTGTGTGTAAGTGTGTGTGTAAGTGTGTGTGTGTGTGTGTGTGTGTGTGTGAATTAGTGATTTGGTGCGTGGTGTTGCTCCAAATGACCCCTGCTGGCCATGGACCAGCGAGCGCGATCCCTCGGACCCGGTATCCACCTCACCCACGCACATGATTGCCAACGCCTCGCCCGCCGTCCGCCGCCCCTCACTCCCCGCCCCCCTAACCTCACATTACGCCCACGCGCCCAGGCACGGACGGCACCTTCAGCCGCTCCCTGTGCAACCCCAGCGCCGCCCCCGCCGCCGCCGCGGCGAGCGGCGCGCCCGCGCCCCCGCCGTCCTTCCGCCGCCTGCTGCCCGGTGAGGGGGAGGGCGCGCCGCAGCAGCCGGCCACCTTCAACCTGGTGGTGATGGAGCTCTGCAGCGGCAGCCTGCGCGACGCGGTGTCGCGCGGCGCGTTCCACCAGCGGACGCCGGAGGGGGCCGTTGCGGTCAACATGGACGGGGTGGTGGAGGTGCGCCGGCGGCAGGGGCTGCGGGAAGGGCGGCGGCGCTTTGAACAGTGCAGTGCTTTTGGGGCACGCACCGCCGGCGGCACCACCGCTGGCGTTTTGCGGTGCCGGCGCCAAGTTTGGTACAAGCCAGGCCAAACATGGCAGAACGCCGCCTGTAGTCTTGCACGCCCCACCTAAGCGGGGTGCACAAGCCGTCGCCGGCAACGGGACGTACGCACTTGCCGCGAGCCGCAGGCACGCGTCACGCGCCGCCGCTGTCTTTCTCAAGCCCCGCAGCCCACACCTTACTCGACGCCCTGCCGCGCCCGTGAATCCCAACAGGTCCTCCTGGACGTGGCCACCGCCCTGCAGTACCTGCACGACAGCGCTAACCTCGTACACCGCGACGTGAAGCTGGACAACGTGCTGCTCAAGCCGGACGCCTCGCGCGCCCTGGGCTTCACTACCAAACTCTCGGACTTTGGCCTGACCAAGGTGCTGCAGTCGACCGCGGGGGGCAACCCCGCCATCAACATGACGGGCGCGGGTGAGTGCTGGGCGGAGACCTCTCAATATGGGGGAAGTTTTGCAAGCACTTGCAAGCTCGTGCATGCATGCGTGTGTGTGTGCGTGCGTGCGTATGTGTGCATGTGTGCATGTGTGTGAATGTGCGTGTATCGTGCAGAGGGCGGGACAAGGGGAATGGTGCAGTAGCACTGCCCACAGCCTCAGCTGCGTGTGACAAAGGACGTGAAGGCGGGCGGCTGCGCGCCAGCTGTTGCCCCCCGCTGAGCTCAATGCATGGGGGGTGAGTACACGCGGGCTGTTGCGGCAGCGACCCGAGTCGTGGCAAAGCTGTGGGTTGGCAGCTGCCAACCTCGTGAGCGCACCCGCCCGCTGTTGCAAATGCCCTCGGCAGGCACCATCACCCACCTGGCCCCAGAGCTGTTCAACGCCGGATCAGAGATCACTAGCGCTGTCGACGCCTACGCTTTTGGCATCCTCATGTGGGAGCTGTTCAGCGGCAAGATGGCCTTCCAAGGTGGGTGCTGGGTCCACGCTTCCAGCCCTCTCTCCTCGCCTTGCCACTGGCACTGAACGCACCGACCCCATGCGCAGCCGTGGCGGGCCGCGAACGCAGACCTTGGGCCATGCAGAGAGGGGTGAGCAGCCGCAGAGGGGGTTTGAGAAGTGTGTGAAACGCACGCTGCGAGAGAAGCAGCCGTGGTGGCAGCGGCAGCAGCTGCGGCGGCAGCACTAGCAGCGCCAGCAGCCGCAGCCTTTGCAGCAGCAGCAGAAGCAGTAGCAGCAGTAGGAGGCGTTACGCACCTGCACTCGAGTCTGGAGTACAGCCTCGTTGCCTCCTCTCCCCGAAACTCAACATGGACAAACCTTGCCACGAGCGCAGGGCTCTCGCGGGAGGCGATCATGTGGGGCGTCGTCGGCCACAACAAGCGGCCAACCTTCCCCCCTGGCACCCCGCCCCAATTTTCGGAGCTTGCCGGCCGCTGCTGGCTGCGCTCGCCCGGCGACCGCCCGGCGATGGCCGAAGTCGTCGTCAGCCTGCGGGAGCTGCGCGCGCAGCAGCGCGCGCATTTGGCTCAGGCGGCGCCGCCGCCGGCCGCGGGCACACATGATCCCGCACGCATGCACTGAGCGCCCAAGGGCGGGTGAGCGCCTGCGCGCGCAACGTGAGGCGCGGCTCTGGTCCTATGGGGGTATCGGCTAGGTGGGCGAATTGGGGATGCACATTTTGGTACGGCGGAGCGTGCAAAGCGCAGCTGCTGGACTGGCCTGGGGAAGTGTTGCCTCATTGCATTGCTGGCATGGACACACAGTCCACGAGATGCTGGCTTCCCCCCGGACGGGCGCCTGGTCCTGCCTTGTGCACCGGCCACACATCTATTTTGTTCCTGAGCGCGCATGGGACTTGTTGATTTGCTCAGGGGCAACCTGTTCAAAACCGAGCGATCTATGCACAGCAAGGCGGCACAAGGCCATCATGCAGCCGCGCTGCGTGCAACGGACCCGCCTCGTGATTTTGGCGCTCCAAGCTATGCGATGCGACACTGCCGTCCTGCCTCTGCCAGGGCCTGCCATGCCCTGCCCCTTGAACTCCCCACGCATTCCCAGCTGATTCTCGCCCCCAACAGCATCACCTGCCTCCCCGGCCCCACACCTGTGCTGGGTCGTGAGGCGTTTCGACTGCTGAAGCCCCTCCCGCATTTGAAGCCTTTTTTTTCCCCGGACTGCACCTTGCCTCCGGCCCGTCAAGCACTGCACCGCCCACGTTGGGTACACACCTGGATGCTTCCTCGTTTTCTATGTCCTCGGCGCTCCAGCCCACTCCCGCCGCCCTTCCTCTTGGGCACACCACTTGCACCCTTCCTCGCCCGCCATGCGTCAGCCGTCCACGACGGTTCATGTCGCCCTGATTGATTCGGCCCCTTCCCTTGCAGGGCGGTGCCTGCATCCGCCCCTGGCTTCCTGACCAGATCCTACGCCTGAACATTCTGGTGCAATGAAGCAGGCAGGCTGGGGCACGTTGCCCTGCTTGCCTGCTGCAGTGGGTTGGCATCCGTGACACATTTGCCTCCAGGCAGCACTTGCTTCCATTGGGTTTGGGTTTATGTCAAGCCCCCAGGCTTAAACGCATGGCGCGCCGATAAAGCAGGCGTTGAGGCGCTTGTCCAGGCGTGGTCTTGCTTGAGACGGCAGAGGACTTTTCTAAGCATGCAAGGTTGAAGGGCAAATGCACGTGAAAAACCTCATCATGGGTCTGGATTTATCCACCGTCGCACTGAATGACTGGCTCACAGGCCTGGTCACACCGCCTGGCCGCAAGCCCGAGCTTCCTCAAGCTCGCTGCTGCGCTCAACACTCCTTAAGGCGCGCGCAGCCTGCGCGCAGCCTGCTTTATTTGCAGGCCGTATCGCCCGCCAGGCCCTTGGGCTGGTGCGTGCTTGCGATTCCAGCGCAGAAGCATTGCCGCCTGCTCCACGTCCCTCCTTGTGACACCGTCCCCTTGACGCCAGTTGCACGCGAGTGGTACGTTGTGGTTTTGCCAGCTGCGTGCAGCTGAAGTACTTGCACTAATTGTTGTGGCTGCATTGCGCACAGACCGACGCCATCGTGTGGTAAGTCCTTCCCCCCCTCCCCCCCCCCCCACACACACACGCACATATGTTTGCCATCTATCGGTGGGGCAGCTGACCCTCGCACCCGTCCTTAAAACATACTTGGTGCCCAGCGCCGGGTCCACTCTACTCTACTCTACTCTACTCTTGCCATCTAGTCATGGGGGAAAATGGTATGGGCCCCGCCACTGACGCGCCACGTACGGCGACATCGCTTCTTTGCGGGTGGCCCCCTTTGAGTGCATGCACTGTATCGTCATACACATACATATCTACCAGTTCGTGTAATCTGCTGTATCGTTCTTCACATAACTGCTGGCTTGTCAGGTACTGTCCACTGCCAGTGGGCGCAAAGGTGGCTGTCATCCAAAAAAAACATGCACCGGCGGATTTGCCCCTAGAACCCTCACCCCCAAACCCTGCCTGCCAACGCAAGCTCAAATCAGTTGTTAGCTGGTGGGTATGTGCTTGCAGCATGATGCCCCGACCTTGCAGTACGTGGGGCCAGAGTGCCAAATGGATCTAATCCTCAGGCGCTGCAGCGCCTGGACCGACGTGCCTGCTATCAAGCCCGGCAGCATGACGATAGCTGGGCCATGTTTGTTACAGCGCTGCACTCGCCCAAGAAATCAAAGGTGTGTGAACAGCACCAGGCAAACATCAAATCCCTGACCTCATCCCAGCTGGTCTGCCGGGTGGTGGCTGGCTACTGCTCAGCAGCAGCTTAGACGTCCCACCCAGCCCCGGCCGAGAAGCCGCTGCCGCTGCTCGCGCGTTGGATGCCCCTACTCCCGCTGCTGGCGCAGGGTGCTGCTGCCGTCGCCCGCGCTCCCGCGAGCTTGGCCGCGATGGCAGCTGGCAGGGCAAAGGGCGGCCCGAGGGGAGCGCCCCGCCGCTGCCACTGCCGCTGCCACTGCTGCGGCCGCGGCCGTCGCTCTCGCCGCGGCGCGCCGCGGCTGCGGCTGCCTGGGAGGAGAGCATTCGCTCCAAAAGAGCGTCCAGCGAAGTGGGTGGCTGCACTTGTTCGCGAGACTCAACGCCAACGCCAACACCGTGGCAGCCGCCGCCCAACAGCTGCTCCAATGGTGCGGCCACGCCTGTGCCGCAAATGAGTGGGTCCTGCCGCGCGCGCGGCGGCTCGGCGGGCGGCTGCTCGGCGGCCCCTGCTGCAGCCACTGCTGCCCGCCAGCCGAGCGCCCCAGCTGGCGGGGCGTGGCGCCACCCGCCGGTGCTGAGCGATGACACGGGGCTGCAGATGGCGGGGATGTCAGCGCCTGGCTGCCAGCTAGTGCGGCGCGCGCGAGGCAACGAGAGCGAACGTGCGTAGGCTGCGACTGGCGCAGGGCGTGTGAGCCCTTGCAGCTGCGACCCAGCTGCGCCCGATGGTGCGTCAAAGCAGCCAGGCACGGCCCCACCGAGAGCTGCTGCACAGGTTGTGGCGCAGTTGTCCTGCTGCTGCTGCTGCTGCTGCTGCTGCTGCTGCTGCTGCTGCTGCTGCTGCTGCTGCTGCTGCTGTGATCGTCTGACCAACTGAGCCTGGGCCTTCACTGCCGACGACACCATCCCGGCCTGCAGCACCCCGCCCCCTCCCCCAGCAGCGGCTGGCCCTCGCTGCGCCGGCTGCAAGCACGCGTCCCGGCCACTGCTGCCTGCACTCAAGCACTCGGAAGGTGCAGGAAGCTGCAGACCAGCAGCCCCTGTGGGCATCCCCGCGCAGCTGCAGGGCGGGTCGGCCGCACCCACTGCCGCCAACAGCTGCGCCTGGTGGCCGCGGAGGGTCGTGATCCGGAACAGCACCTCCCGCCCGCCGCAGCCGCCGCCGGCTGCGGGCGGCGGCCGCGCGCTCGGCAGCCGGTCCGAGAGCCCGGCGGGCGGGCCGTCTGCCCCGTCGGCTCGCTCCCACGGTAGGGGCAGCGGCGCGGCAAACGCGGGCCCGCGGCGCAGCGCACCGGACCGCGGCGTGGCGGGCCGGCTGCCGCCGCCGGCCGCCGCGCCGGTCGACGGACGCGGGGAGCGCGGGAC